CCCCCAAACAACCTTGATGTAATATTGAATTTTTTATAATTTAAAAATGAACTATAGGATAAATAAGTTCATACTCCCTTCGTTCTAATTTATGTGAACCCGTTGACTGGGCACAAAGTTTAAGAAAAAATGAAGATTTTGGAAATTTGTGGTCCTAAACAAGTCAAAAAGGGGTCCATCGTATTTGTGTGATTATAAAAGTTTCTCATTAAGAATATAATTGTAAGTTTAAGCTAAATTGTTTTCAAATTTAGAAAGAGGTCATTTTTTTTGGAACGGACCAAATAAGTTCACATAAACTGGAATGGAAAGAGTAATTCATAAACTCCAAACTTTGACTCTGATGTTATGGATCCTTGATAACAACAGTCGTGATAGGTAGGGAGAAAAGGGACGAATACGACTAAACGAGGGCAAAGAAGTTTAACCCCAGTATCTAAACGGTGTATAATGATATAGTAACCGTTATGCTACAGCTCAATATTCTATTTAATCAGTTTACTTGTGATCTCTAAAATCACAAGGGAGTAATGTACCGTGGTAAATTGCTCATGCACAACAATGAAAAAGTGGATGATAGGAAGAATTTCAACTAAAGATTTCAATAATCAGGTATTAAAATTTTCATTTTTATTCATAGTACCTGTAGTTTTATTTATTTATTCTCTTTTGGCTTCTTCATATTAATCAGTTAAAAGTCGGAGTAGTGGAAAAAATAGTTTGTTACGGTACCCATTCAGTTAAGCTTTTCAAGATCTTCTATGACCTAGATCTGTATGAAGTACTCAATTGATCTTCTTTTTCATTTTCTCTCATTATATACAAACATTAACTGCTTCGTATTCTCCCTAGGGCGTTGATAAAATTGCAACCTTTTTAGTCATATATACAAGTATTGAGCTCAAACTCCTGAATTTATATTCGTTCAGTTATTTACCTAATCTATAACTCCTTTTCAACAAGTAAAGTTGGTGAAATTAAGCAATTTAATTTGTAAAAAAAAAAACCAGAAAATGACTGTTTGATATCAAAATGGCGAAATAGAAAAGTTACAGTAAGATTTCCCGGTGTTTATAGCTCCCTCACAATTTCCATAAGGTAAAAGTGGAGGGGAAAGAAAAGAGCTCTATGTTCCAAACATTTTGGTCTCTGTAATAATTCAATCTTTACATAGGTGGGATTGACAAGAGCAGTGATCAATCAATCTTTACAGCAGAATATATCTTCCGAAGAAACCACAAGCATGCCAAGAAGCCAATAGTCCCGGTGAGTAGAAAAAATGCATAAGCCCCAATCAGCATATAACCAAAGTAGAGAATACCTGAGACCAGCTTTGAGATTTCCAACTTGGCACTGAAATAGTAGATGGAATACAAGAATAGGTACAATGCAGAAGAGCCGGAAGTCAAATAGGCTCGCCACCACCAGCGATAGTCCTCACAGCATAATTGGAAGTAGGCTAGTACTATGGTTATCTCCGCGCAAGTGACTATAAGTATGGTAAAGACAATGAAGAGAAATCCGAATATGTAATAAAACTGGTTGAGCCATATGGATGTCAAGACAAAATATAGCTCTATAAACACTGCACCATACGGAAGTATGCCTCCGAAAAGCGTAGTGAATAGAGGATTCATGTACCAAGGCTGCAAAGGTATCAGTCTAGGAATCTTATTTGTTTAACAGGATCCTCAACTGCAGGTTTTCTATAACCAAGGAAGCTTCCCAGGAAGACTAATGGTACTGAAATACCAAACCAGAGAAGCACAAGGACGAACATTGTCCCAAAAGGTACAGCTCCAGAAGATTTCTCTCCCCATATTAGAGCATTCAGCATGAAAAAGATGGAAAAAAGAAAAGCAGGGAACATAAAGGCTGTTTGCAATGACATTTTTTTCCAGTCTGTTCCTTTGAACATTTTGTACAATCGAGCTGAGGAGTAACCAGCAAATAAGCCCATGAACACCCATAGCAAAACCAAGGCGGTCATTAGCCCACCACGATTAGAAGGCGAGAGAAATCCAAGTAAAGCAAATATCATTGTGACAAGGGACATTCCGAGAACTTGGATTCCTGTCCCAACATGAACACACAGTAAACTGGAATTTTCAGGTGGCCTGAAGACATCTCCATGTAGCAAGCTGAATGTCAAGGGGAAGGACAAGGAAGGTGTTAATTAAAAAACAATGTACCTCAAATGAAACGTCATATGTAAATACTACTTTGTTGTCTGCAACAATCTCTTGAGGTACAGAGTTTGTCCGGAATACAGTTGGCTTCCCAGGTTTGCATGTCGTAAGTTTAGTGTTCTGTTCATCCCACTTCTTGTAGCCATGGTTAATACTGATTCAAATCAGCATGTGAGCTCAGAACACGAGAGTTACCGAGAGAGAAAAAGAAGTTATCTCCAATAGATATGCATAGAAATGCCAAAGCAAACCAATAAATATACCTTCTAGTAACAAAATTATGCATTCAAATTTCATCATTCAAGGTTGCCAATGCAATGAAAGATCAGGGCCAATTAATCTGTAGGACTTTTGATATTGCTGGATCCAAATTACATGGAAACATAGTCAAATTAGACACTGGAAAACCTTGAACACTTCTATCACTCAAATAAGTGCACAAACTTGAGCAAGTAGAAACTATGAGAGCTGCTAAACAGGCCATGAAACTATGATAAACCAGCAGAAACTTAGAGTTGAATGCTGCATCACGAATGTTCGGAAACGTGAATGTCCTAGAACTACAATAAATGAAATGTACCAGTTACAAAAGACCACTGCCGCTGCACATTCTGAAATCATCACTAAGCATGCAAAACTAATTCTATTTCTGAATGCCTAATCATCGTTTCACAAAAGAGAACAACAGAAAAAAAGGTCAAAGGAAAATGAGAGAGAGAAGGGAAGTGGTATAAGAAGACTTTCATTCAAGTAGTGAAAGCTTGAAAGTTGTTCAAACCTGAGGGGAATAACCTCAAAACCAACAACACGAGCAGTGCCCGTCTCTAGATCCTCGTGATACATAACCTTGAAATTCAAATGGTTATTCATAAAATAACTTTTCTCTTTCCTCTGCAAAACCAACTTTTACAGTCAACAAACAATTAACAACATTCAGAGATGACAACAAAACAGTAAGATTCAGACCCCCAGCAAATCTCCCTTTAAATCCAACTTGAAATCCACGTTCATAAACTTTTTCTCCGCTTCCATCCATCTTTCGCCGAGGAACTGCCACAGGAAGATTGTCCAGAATCCTGTACAATGTCAAATGTATATGAGATGTATCCAAAAACTGTATTTAGTATCTAATCAGCACAAAACTAAATCTAATCAGCACAAAACTAACTTCAAAACTTATAACTATCTAGGCAAAAGTATTTAGGCATCCACAAGTCCATCACCACATAAGTAGAAATAAAACAGCACAATCAGCAAAATGACTTAAGTAAAACAAAGGGAGTCGCAATTAATTATTCACCCTTACATGTTAACTCGGTAATCGTCATCAATTTTGTCTTTGAAATTCTTAGCAGAAACTGCATCAAGTTTGATTCTACATGCCACTTTGCAGGACTCTGTCTCTCTCAATCTTGAACTGGAGAACTTTTTAAAATTAGCTCAGAACTAACATACATTCAAACCATACCATAATTTTCTTTAGTAATGGATTGCTAAAAGACACTCACAGTATAGATAGAATTCTCAATGCGGTCACCTCGAAGAACTTCTCCCAAATTCTCTGCACTGTTGGAAACTTTTGGAGGTTTACAATAGTCCAGGAAGTAATAATCATATGGCAGCTGTGTCTTCATGGATGAAAGCTTGTTTACTTTAACATGAAGAGAATCACCCTGTGAAGAAGTTGGTAGGTTTATTTGTTGCGGAAGCCAAATGTATATAGTGTGAATAAGTCACAACTACTATACCAAAAATTA